AGTTCGATGAACGGGCCGATCGGTGTCACCATAAATTATCATCGAAAGCACGACTTTGCGCCCCCCTCCCCCATTATGCAAAATCACAACAACGACGGGGTCGTTTCATCCACTCCAAAGTCGACCGGCTTCTTCGCCCCCAAAGAGAGCGAGAAAAAGTCATCAATTACAATTGGGAATAAATCGAAGGCAGATGCAACGATCGCCCGTAGGGCCCATCGCGACGGGTGACCGATTCTTCAACCCCCCCTCGCGGACAATACGACTGTTTTTGGCAAATACAAAGCGATACACGAGTTTGAATGCGAGTGTCACTCTCCGACGAGCGAGTGATTCGTTCTCGCTTCATCGCCTTGGCTATTACGACACGAGCAATTTGTTCCAAAGTGCCTTTAAAAATAACTTTATTGCTAATTATTTCCAATGTTGGAAGTATTTCAATATACACTGCCAATACTAAAAATCTATAGTTCAGATTATGTTTTCTATAGATTTTTATTACAGACTGTATATATCGAAACACGACTGTTATCTGTTTGAAAGTAGCTATGCGCGTAAAAAGTAGCGAAATACGATAATAATTTTATGAAACCTTCGAAAAAATAATAACAAATGTTTTACATTTTACTCTACATACGATTACTCTACATACAATTTACAAAAATCAAAATATACTTTTAGTAAAAAATTATTCTGTGATTCCTCTTGAATGAAATTCTAAAGTACAAACTTTATTATTTGTGAATTATTATTAATAGATAATTAAATATACAATTATATAAAAACAACTGTCAATATTATTTAAGGATCGAATTAATCTGAATTAATTTTAGTAGAATTAATTAACCTTACATATATATATATGTATATATATATATATATATATATATATATATACTACTATATATATATATATATATATATATATATATATATATATATATATCGTCAAGTTTGATTTTTACTTTTAAGTTTGTACTAAAATTAATTGCAAGACGGGCGAATTATCAGGGAGTTCTTATCTGCCGAGTGTGGTTCCTGTCGTTATTTCGACAAGTTAATAAAAATAATCGACCGTTCGTGTTAGTAAACTGTAATGAGGTGCGATAACTCTTTTATCTGCAGACCACAGGAAGCCAATATCGAGTCAGACGATAAAAATTCTTTGCAAAGCGAGACATAAGAATTATTGTTGATTTAAGTCGCGCTTACGAGATATTTTTATCTAATATCAAAATGTTGTCGCGTATCTAAAAATATAAAATCTAATGAAGTTACCCTCACTATATATAGAGAAATAAAAGATTCAGAATTTCCATTGGAAGACGAATAATCTTTCCACTTCGGAAAGTTAACATCTTGAAAATTATTCGTCTCTAGGAAAAATATATAATTAACAAGAAAATTGTGATAACCAAAAATATTAGCGTTACAATTATCTTCAATCCGCGATTTTGATTCTCTGAGTTTCTGAGTTAGGCCGCCCTAAATTTTCTCAATTCTCTTCGATTTCAACTTGATGTAATAAGTTTCATTATCAGCCCCACGCTGTCGAGTAATGTTATCGCCGTCTTTCGTATCGAATACTCGCGAAAGGTTACACCCCTCGCGAGGGTCACTCGATACTGTCAACGAACGAGTCGAAGGTCCCGAAGGCGGAAGGGAGGGAAAGGGGGATCCTCCCTTAGGACTCGTAGGGCTTCTTATAGGAATTCCTTCGCGCCGGAACGCACGTCGTCGTCGTGTTACACTTGGCGCCGAGTTTCGCACAACTGCAAGAGGGCTCGTCTCGTCTCTCTCTCTCTCTCTCCCGTCGTAACCGGTTTTTATTCGTCCCTAAATCGCGAGGCGACGTGCTCGCGAGGCGTGCCCTTCCTTCGTCTCCGCCGTTTATCGAACGATCCCGGGTCCCGTTTGAAACAATAAAGCCGATTCGAGACGGGGAGACTCGCAGATCCGATTTGCCGGGATCAGGATAATGATCCCGGATTGCGTCACGCTTCGACGCCCACGGCGTTGTTCCTGCAAAGGACGAGGATGGAAGGGATCTTCCCCCTCTCGTCCGCGCGCTGCGCAAATACGCGCAGGATTAAAGTGCATTAACGGTAATGATCGCATCGTACGTTTCAATCATGTCTCGATTTAGTCGTCACGGGCGACCAACAGTCAAATTGCTCGCTCCAAACAAATTCCTGAAATCAATTCCCACGAATCATCTGGACATTGCATTTTTAGATACCAATCAGTTTTATCAGAATTTCGCGTTACATATTTTGGAAAAATAAAATTTCAATATAATTTTTTTTCAATTTAGAAACTGATAAATGATGAAAATAATTTTTCGGAAGTTTCTTTTAAAATGCTGGAATATTAGAATCTAGAAGCTATTAGGATCGAGGTCACCGTGTTCGTAAATGGTTCACGCTTCGATTAGCAGACTCAACAATGATTTCGTCTTTTGGGAGGACAGAACTTTCCAATTTTCCCGGTATTTCGAGTGGGCATGCCTGACGACATTCCTTGCGAGCCGAAAGAACGCGGAGCGGATGATTAATAGAATCCGCGTTTCTAGTTCGTCGCAAATATCGTGGCTTTCTTTGGAGTTTTTCAGCGATTCTCCTTGCGTGTTTTCTGCTACCGAAACCGATACAAAGGCACGCTGGTTTCACATCAAGGTATCTCTTCCGACAATACAACGACACGACGAAAATCATGGACACGCGAATGGTGAAAGTCTTTCATTATATTTTTTTTAATCATTGGCAGACGGAGAATCAATTCGGAGAAACATTTGTCATTTTTCAAACTGTCAAAGATACTAAAGATAAAAGCGATTCTAGGATTTCTCAGAAAGCCATTTTACGTAAATTAAGCATTAAATCTCTTTGAACAAGCTCTCTATTAAATATACACTTCTACACAGAAATATTGAGTAAAAAAAATACACAGGAATAGATATTAAATGATACTTCTTAAAGAATCTTCTTGATATTATTTGTATTAATTATAATACATATTGCGAATTCCTAGAATACCTAGAATAACATAACGATTAGAATCATGATAATTACTCCGTGCCACTAATATGACGGGTATAAAGTCCGACGGGTAACTTGAACAGAATGCATACAACACGATTCGATAATCTTAATATATTCTTCACAATTACACAGGATATTTCGGTGTAAGCGAAGGAATAGGTCGAAACAAGCGGAGAATGCGACGCAAATGATATCTTTAATCTATAAACTCTTTACAAATATGTACAATATAACAAAAGGTTGCTTTTTCACGCTGACCGCGTATCCGTAACTTAAAGATAAAACGTAAGCAGACGGAACAGTGATTCATCGTTACTTATTAGCCGAACGCCGCGAATCATCGTGATTCACGCATTCCGTCACTGCCGAGAACGCCGTTCATTCAATAATATAATCATCACGGTCGTTGTGCTGTCGCATGACATTTCGTGATGATCGCTCTCGCACGAGCAAAAGGCAGATGCGGCGATCTCGTTTCTTTGCAGTGGAAGACGATTGAAGATACGATACCTTTTACCGTCGCAAAATCAGGAAATCGATTCCCTTCTTATAATCACGAGATGTGGCGAAATATATTTGTATTTTTTTAAAAGAGGTATTCGACATCTTTTAACTTTTAAGAATCTCAATGATTTCAAAAATTTTTAAGAACATTGACAATCCTTTTAAGTTTAAAAGTCTCAACGATTTAAATAATCTCAAGAGTGTCAAATACTAAATTTAAAAAAATTTAATAATTTAAATAATGCCTAGAAATTTCAAGATTGTTAAAAAAGCCTCGAGTTTTATAAAATCTTTTCAAAGCAGCCGCAACTTTCTAACGTAAAGATGCCTGTTCTGCAATATTTATCGTTATAGTTCTCTTAACAATGTCGTTATTATTTTGCAACTAGTTAAAAATTATGTCAAATAATTCATAAAAATTAAGTTGCAATATGACTCGCAAAATTTTTGCGAACAATATTATCATCTTAAAGTAATTTATGCACGTTTGAGCGATAACGATGCATTTCGAAAATTGTCATGCATTTTGAAAATTAGCATGCAAATTGAAAATAGAATTAAAATGTAAAACGTAAAATATTACAAGCCTTTAAATGATCGGCTAATAAATCATTATTTTAATGTCACAAAATGATGCGCGTGAAAAGATACGTCCTTCGAAAAGAGCCACCTTCATTTTGGAGTTTAACGCGCGAGACACATCCGATAACTAAGGGAATTTAAAGTCGTTTTTAGATATGACAATCTACATTAATCACAGTCAAAACGCCAGACTCAAACTTACCCTAAATAGATGTACATAAAATGTAATTATATATTAAATTTATACGTATTAATTATATATATATTAAATATGCAAATACAATTTGCAAATTTTATATATAAATATATTATGTAATCTATAATTATATATATAAAACTGCTGTTATATATAACATATTGAAATTTTCCACGGATATTCTTCAGTGGAAGCCTTTTATCGTTATGTCAATGCGATCTTTGTTAAAAGTAAATTGTAAAAAGCTTATAATACCAAGAAAAAAGGAAACGGCTCGTAATTTTTTGGAAACATAATTTTAGAGTAAAACTCGCGTACCACAAAATTTGATAACGATATTCAAAATAAGATGAGACAAGTGTAGAAAATTCTACCGAATAAATATCTATTTGCAATTTCCAAGTTTACGACGCATGTCGTTATCGCTGCAACGTAGATAAAGAACAAAATATATAACTTTATAAAAAATATATAACTATATAAAAAAATTACTTTCGATAATTATATTATTCGAAGTAGCCGATCTCTTCGGGATCGATCGGGAAGCGGAACGCGACGATTCGTGACGCGCTCGCATTTATATCACCGCAAATCAGGCGAAATCGACATTGGTATCGGTATCGTTCTCCAAGAACGCAACAGGCCGTTTCCCGTTTATCTAACGGCGTTTTTTTTTCTTTTTTTTTATCTCTATCGATCCAAGACGGACTTGTCATTGGGAGATACACTTACACGAATCTGACACCCGATTTAAACGAAGAAAATTTTTTTCATATGTTTTAAAAAACTTTTTCTTAAAGTCAGAGTGCCGGGCTCGCGCGGGCTCGAGGAAGCGATGACGATGAGATTTTTACCATCATCGAGGGCAGTTCGAGGATCTACGCGAGCCTCAGTAAGCTCGTAGTCGCACCTCCATCTCGGGATCCTGGCGGTGCGGCAGATGGGGCTCGATGCCGGTCGCGGTGGCACCGGTGGCACCCGCACCGCCCACGTGCCGGCTATGATGGCCATGATGATGGTGATGATGACTCGCGTGATGCGTATCGTGGTGATAATGGTTGAGATGCGTCGGCTGCGCCGCCGACGCCGGGCCGCCCCGGTAGGTCCGTTGCTTCTCCTCGAAGTCGCGCAGCCGTTGATTGTAGCGTTCAAGCTGGTCGCGCAACAACGCGTCCTCCTCGACGGCGTGCTCCTCGTCGTACTCCAGACAGCCGACGCCGTCCAGCCGCTCCAGGTCGATCCAACCCCGCCACCTCACGCATACACCGTTCATGATCAGGTGCGAGCGCAGGTGTACCTGGAACATCGTCGCCGAAGCGGAATTGTTATGGATTGCTGGCGAGATCGACATCATGGATGCTGATGGATGATCGGGATATTCTTGGATCTTGGTCTTGGGATCGGTGAGGAGATTGACGAGCAGATTCTGACAGAGACTCTGGACCTGCCTTGAAGTGAAGTGGCTTTGCGTTGGGCATCTTTTGTTGGATGTAGGATTTAATTGTAAGGAAACACACGGAAAAAATAATTTGATTGGCAAAACTTTGTTTTAAAATAAACGAATTAGAAATTTCGACTTAAGTTATCAGAATTCAGTTTAAACTAATAAGATTAGGTTCTTCTGGTTTAATTTAAATAGAAATCTGGTAATTTCTAATACAATTTTGATTCGAATTCTGATTCAATTTTGATTCGAATTCTGATCTAAATTTCTGATTCGTTCATTTTGAAAAGGAATTTTCATTCCTGCAGGACTGAAATCTGGATATTTTGTAATTTTTATGACGGATTAATAATTCCTTTACTTTCTAATTCTTAAATTAAGTAAACACGTCATTTGTATTGGAGTTAAAGTCTTCGTCGTAGTGGATCGAAGTATTTCTGACTCAACGCGTCGCTCTTCCTCGAAATCGATGTGTGCGAGAGAAAATGACGAAACGCATCGAAGCCGACAGCAATCTTTCGATCTTCCTCTTTTTTTTTTTCAAAATCCATGTCGGCGTGGGTTGTAGGGGAGCTCCATTACGTGCCACGACCCGCAAGTTTCAATCACGTGCGCCCCGTTCTCTCGGCCCTCTCTCGAATCCCTCCTCCCATGTCCAACAACGGCGAACGTTTCTTATTTCCGGAGAACGATTACGCAGATTGGAAGGTACGAGAAGGCCTCGCGGTCCGTCTCGAGATGAGGCTGAGAGAGGCGAGGCTCCTGCGTTCCCCGTAAGAAGTCAATTACGAGCAGAAGTAACTCTCGCGTCGATGGCGCTTGCACAATCCTCGTAAAAACCCGCTGTGCATTATTATCTCGCATATTCCGACTTGTTGCAGTCTTTATGGGATATTAGAAAATTGCACTAACCGGTCAGTCGTGCGCGATGCACCTCAAGATGTTTACAATCCCAGAGAAACTGCATAAATTCTATTTAACGCATTATTATGTTAATTTCCTTTTTCTTGACTTCATTATACTTGTATTCTTTTACATTTGTATTTTATGCTTGTCTTTTTGCGATGGATATATAAAAAAAATGATAAAATATAATAAATTCTCCAAAATTACGCGAAGCATATTATATAAATAATTATAATAATTTTAGTAATATAAAATAATATAAAAAAATAATAATTATAATTTTAGCATAATTTAATATACAAAAAAAATGTTCGAGCCACTTTAAATTATTTATCAAAAATAAGAAAAGAAAGAAATAGTTAAAATTATTGTTGCTCTGAATCTTCTATGTGTGGTTTCTACCTGTCTTATTCTTCTGTCCTTATTTACGACTACTAATTAATCCAGGAATATTACTAGGCGGTGTTTTCCGAGAAAAATCTGATGAGAGACTCTCGAAAAACTAACGATTACCGGGTTCTATGCCGACGATGCAACACGGCGTTATTTTATTTTCTGGCAAACGACCCGACTTCCGGTCCCGCCACGAAGCCCAGATATTATTACGAGGTCAAGAACGCTCGGGAAAAACCAGTCGAGACCGTATTTGTGATCCCGACATAACGAACGGTGACACGCAATCAACAAAATGAGTCAAAGATTCAACAAAATGAGTCAAAGATTCAAACGATCGAATATAACATTCCATTCCCGATTTTATAACATGTAGTTTAACATTTATATCATCAATACAGCAACATTACCCGTATATATAACGTGTATCAATAAACGATATTATAGAAATTTAGATATTACATATACGCATAAATATACGCATCATATATAATTACATATTATTATTTATTATTAATGTAAATATTATATATTTTTTTAATATTTAAAGAATATTTAATAAAATTTTATATAAAGTAAAATCCGAATAACTAAAAGTTCTGTATGTCTCCGTAACAATCATTTATTTCTTTTAAGTTACTAAGAACTATTAAATTCTTGTTAATAATCAATCTATTTATAACGCAATTAATTTAATATGAGACTTACGCACGTGAACGAATGTACAAAACGCTCGAGCGGTAAATCCGACGTTACATCTCGTTACATTCTTTCGCACAGCGCTTACAGCTGCGTCGCCGACAAAGCGCCGCAGGACGTATTTTTATGTAGTAATAATCAAACGGCAGGGTGCAACTACGCGGGGTGATGGGGGGGGGGTCTTAAACGCTTTCATAATCGAATCGCTCGCGGCTTTTGCTCTCGAAAGACTCGATTCCCGAGTTTCCATCTTTTGAAAAAAAAGAAAATTCCTGTATTTTCCTTCATATCGCAAATAATTATTTATATTGCATTAAAAAAATGCAACAAACAAGAAACTGAGCATACATCATCAAGTCGATTTTCTTGCATGCGTTCGTATGGCGAGATCGAATCTCATTCTTATCTTATAATAAGCGCAAGGTGATAAGAGCAGTTCCTGCTCAAGGCGGAATTTTCTCTTCCGCGCAATCTTATGCATATTAATGCATCTCCGGATAGGCGAGGCAATATTATTAAGAGTTGTAAATCTTACGCGGTTCGCGTTATATTAACATAAGTATAAAACGCAAGCAGGAAAATACGTCGCGAGAATATTCATAGTGTACGCACGTGTGCTATTCTTCGTTTCTTCGTAAGAATAATCACGAGCTCTGGACTATTCATTATTACATTAGAATTACATTATTTTTACAAGCAGGATTACAATTTTTACATCTTCTCTATTGTTTCAACAATGAAACATTTATAATAACATTTGGAAAAAAATTATTTTAAAATCCTCAAATACGAAGCAGTTATAATTTTTTGCTTGTCAAAAAGAGATGCAGTTATTTCTTTGAGAATCATGGCAATCTTGTCATTTTAAATCAAAACAAGGCGTATATGTGTATGTACGCATGTTTCCTGCTCGCTCTTGTAATCGCGGGATAATCTTCGCCTTGTATCTCCGGCATCGCGGAACGAATCGCCGGGACGTGTATATTCCGAGCGGCAAACGAGGCGCGCAAAAAGCCGCCACGACGAGTAATCGGCGAGGAGAGGAGCGAACGACATACGACATTGTCATTAGTCATCGCCGTTGCCTTCCTCGTTCTCACGAGGAAAGAGAGAGAACAGTAGGAAACATTTGTTTTTCTCCTCCTGTGTGAACGGGCGTGACGATCATTATCGTCGCATAATAGTCGTCGTAATAGGCGATATTTAAACTGTAACGCGCCACCGCCGGCAACCCTTTCTGATTTGCATTAGCGAGCGGAGAAAAAAAAAGCAAGAGCGCAGAAGGAAAAAAAAAAAGGAAAGAAACGAACGACGAGGAAAGGGGTGAAAAATCAGTACCACGAGCGGTCGAAGACCACCTAAACGTTCCGAGACAAACAACCGGCTATTTCGTTGGCCCTTTTGTTTCTCGATGGGCGTCGCCGACGGTGCCTTTTTGCGCCGGGTCCACTGTGCTAGAAACTAAACCCGTGAATGCTCCGAAACATTCGTCAACGGTGTCCTGGTAGGAAGGACAACATGCTAGGGGCATACGGTCAGTACAGTCAGTGTCGCCCTTTGTCTCTCGGGGTCCAGTTCCGTACGGATATAATTTTTTGCGCGCAGGACGTGCGCTTGCGCCTCCACACAATTGTTTCCGGACTATAAATTCTGTGTAATCTTCGAGAGCCTGTTTGGCCGAAAAAAAAACCCGCTGCGGTTTAAGGGATTGCTGCCTTAATGTTAAGCTTAGAAAATGTGTTACGTTAAGCTTAGAAAATGTAATGTTAGGAAATCGTCGGAAATCCAAGAAAAATCATTCTCGATATTTTATAACAATTGTTTTCCTCTGCTTAGCATTCCTTGTAGTTTCAATATTTTCTCTACTATTTTTAAATTATTCTTTAAACAAGACTATTTTTTTTAAATTAATTCCAAGCTTTCTATTGCTTGAGTTTCCTGAAACTTTTTTTTTATTTTACAAAACAGAACACAAACACAAAACTTTTTTTTTAATCAATACAACTTAACATCGATGCCGTTAATATTTTTTTTTCTCTCATCTGATGCTAAAATTTGCATTGGAGAAAGCTTTATTATTTCGCAAATCAATTCTCTCTCTGTCTCTCTTTGTTTCTCTCTCGTCTCTGTCCAATGGGCAGAGGGTTAAAAGCTTCGTCATTATCGGGCACCGCACGCGTTCTCTCTATCGCGGGTTTATCTCGATCGCGAATAAAATCTCTCCCTTAATTATTACGTCGCTCAACAGGGCACGTCGGTGCACAATGCACGCGGGCACGTGTGGTCGCGCGTCGCTCTTTATTCCTTCGCTCATTGTCGATTAAAACAAAAACGAGGCCGCGGGTCGTCCCGTAAACAACGTGCTATGCACCGTGCGTAGAATCTAATGAATCGCTTCCGTTCCATTTCGTTCTCTTTTCGTTCTCTTTTTCTCGCAAAAAGAGACTCGGTGTAAAAGAGACTGTGAGCATCATCATGAGCAAAATGCTCAGAAAAATTTTTGAGTCATGACAAACGATGATATGAACGAAGATCCTTTTAGCGTTTCTTAACTATTAACATAAAACTTTTTTAATATTAAAATAATGCTGATTTATCAATTTTTATTGACATTTTTTTATTTAAAATTGTTCTATGTCGCGTAAATACTTAAAAAAAAAATCTTGAGAAATAAACACAATACGCAAATACGATATTGTAGGAATTTAAATTAAAAAAATTAAATTTTGTCGATAATATTTTATTCGTTTGTGATAAATTGTAGAAAAAAATATTTGCAAAAGTCGTTTCAAGAATGTTAGGAGAGAAGAGAAGATTTACAGGTTACTAGGTTTTCGTTCGACCTTTGCAAGAAATAGAGAGATTTACGAGTCCATTATATACCGAGTAACTGGCGGAGCGGCCTCGGGCATCTGGCGGCGTTTAACGGATTTCTAGAGCGCTAATTGCTGATGCCCACTAATAGTAACGTGGCTTTTACTTTCCTGTCGTTTTTTTTATGTGTTGTGACAAAATGATGTAAAAGGATCCATGATCTCGAAAGATATTCGAACCAGAAACGTGACGTTTATTTTATTTCCTCGATAAAGATGAAAAATGCTTCAGAAATATGAATAAATAAAAAGATCTCTTTTGGTTTTCATTTAATTTCAAATGACAAATATAATTTTAATTTGGAATTTAATATTATTTGGATGTTTACGTGACAAAATTTTAAAAGTTTAAAAATTTTAATTATTTAGAACTTTATTAAGGAAAAATTAATCCTAAATTAATCAGAAAAATTCATTACCAGAAGTTTTTACGTGCAACATGAATTGTGAAAATGAAAACATAAAATATTAAAAAATTATAAAATATATTAAATAACAAAGGATAAAATAACAAAGTATTTCTATTTCTTTGAGAAATGAACACTTGCAAAAATTGCAAAAAGAGGTAATGACTGAAAATCTGCAGCATCCATGAAAAGAACGCCCGCAAAATGGCGTCGCGACGCCGCCGCTATCGATCGCGATGGCGACGCCAAGAGGCGTCGGCCGCGGCGCCGGCGTATGAGAGATTTCTAGTCAATGACGATTTCTCTGAAGAAAAATACCATTAATAATATTTTTGCAAGCTTAATTGTTCCTTTACAAAGAACAATATAATTATCTGCTATGAAATAATCTTCGAATATTCGGAAATTTCAATTGCTCAAATACAAACATGTCTATGTTAAGACGTTCCAAAAATTTAAAATTTTAATTTTTGGCAAGAACTGCTCTTATTTATTTATATAAGAGAGACGCAAACAGATATTTCGCTTTTATTACTACAAAGATGAAAGTAAAATCTTGGTCCTGTTCGCGCGGCAGGGTACCGTTTATGTTCAAAGCTCCCGTATTACACGGTTACCTTTTGGCCGAATTTTACATAACACAAGGATTAATTTAAAATTTAGATAATCGGAAGCCATCTCTTTTGAGAAACTTAAAATCGATTAATCGGAAAATATTCCTTTGGTTAAACTCTCCTTTCATAAGTCACATAATATCGTTACGTTTAATTCGGATTTTTGACTTTTACAAACTCGTTCGACATGAAGATAAATCAACAGTTTGCCGCTTAAACGAAACTAGACCCCCCCATGGAGAGGATCAGAATTCCCAGGGACCGGAAGCGGGGGTGATACACCGGGCGCCATTGTTCGAGAAGTGGCGACTGACCGACGGATACCAAATTGTGGACGTGCCCGAGAAAGGTTGCATAGCAGTTACGTCTAACGGCTCCTAATTTGCCCGCTAGTACAAACCAATTATGACCACACGGTCGTATTCTGGAGTCGCCGTTTCGAGATTTGAGCTGTCGGGGTCGAAACCTCCCGCTGAAAGAGCGAAAGTTAACGGAGAGAAACCAGTTTTTTTTTCGCAAACTTGCGTGATGATTTTCCACGATTCAGAAATATTTAGAAACTTTTCACAAAAAAAAAAATAATCTTATTCCCGAAACCACTAAGGTTGTAAAAAAAATATGCCATTATAAAATCCTCGAAATTTTATGTTCAAAGTCGGCGCTTTTCAATTTAAATTAAATTGACGACTTAAAGAATTGGTCTGTTTATTTCGTCAATTTAATTAATTTTATATATAAGTTTTTATAACGTGATATTTAGAGATGGATTTATTTAGGTTTTAACGGCGAGGACAAGAATCGGTCCAGCAGGATGATGCTTAGGACAAAATTCACGATAATTGAGACGATCTTGCTTGGATAAAAAAAGCGATGTGACTTACCTTGCCATGTTCCTTATCGAAATCGCAATCGCTGGGATCGACGGGGTAGCTCCCGGATGCGTTGCCGAATACAAGTTGGAGGTTGGTGCCCGTCGCTGCGAACGCGATCTCCGTGTGACCTTCTCGACAGCCATTTTGGAAACGTACCTGACGTTCTTCAAGTGGTCGATCTCTATAACCGGTGTATCTTACCTGCAAAAAAAAATAAAAACATCTTCATTAGCAATGTACATTAATGCATAAAGAGGTTTTTATCCAGGAAATAATAAATGCAAGACATTTACAAAATATGTCAAAGGAAATTTGAATTTTAAAAGACATGCACTTAATTTATGTACGTTTCTTTAGACTTTTTATTTATAGATTTATATCAGATTTTGATATGTAGATATATTAATATATTGTATTAATATATTTATTAATATATTACATTCGATATTTTTAATAAGTTATTTTATAGAGATAAATGATACAAATTATATTGCTAGAAAAACATTACAATATCTTCTTATTATCGCCTAATAATTAATTAATTAATTCATTTGACGATATTTCTGAAAGTATCGAATGCTTGTTTATTCAAAAATATCTCTAAAATTCTCGGATTCACAGAAATTAAAAAATGAAATGAATGTGAAATTCGTTACTCATCGTAATTCGGAGATACTGAATAAATTCGAAGAAAGAACGACATTCCAACGATATCGCGTATTTTAAGTCAGTGCAGTGACGGGGAATCCTTTGATGCCGTTTCGAGATTTCTTATTGCGCCACGTAAGTCGAAAGATATTTCTCGAGATATCCGGCTGAAGTTGATCAACAGCGAGCAATAAACATATTTAATGTCAATTCTAAAACGAAGCAATAGTTCTCAGAAATTCCCAGCAACCTGATTTCATACAAACTTAAATACAATTGCGATCTTTGTTACTTCAGCTTCAAAAAAAAAAGCTTTATGCAAAATAATATTTATTATCTTATTATTTTTTAAAATAATGCATGTCAAGAATTAAATTTAAAGACACCATTATATCCAAATAATTGTTGTAGCTTGCATATTTACAAACAGTATTATCAAATGCACATGTTAGTCCTAGTAATAAAAAATCGTGCCAGTTCCTTTAACATAAGGATTCGTGACACACTTTTCATTTCCTTGTACGTTTCCTTGTAGGAATATCGCGTGTGTTTCCTGCATATTTATCAACACAAGTATTTCCTCTTAAAGATATCAACCATCTTTATGTATTCTGCAAGCGAATATTCTTTCTAAGCATTCTTAGAAAGAATACTTTTGTCGGAGTATCTAAAAATTTAGTCAAATACAAAGATCTGAAAACAATTTTGTTGGGTCACCAAAATATTTATGGACATAAAAAAAAAATATTAGAATTATAAATGTTTATTAAGATATAATAGGATCAAAGATAAATTTAGAATGTAAACATAAGTAGGAATGTAAAATAAATGTAAATTGATAGTGTAAAAAGTGATGTTAAATAGAGCTAGATGTTAGGAGAAATTGTAATTAATATATATATATATATATATATATATATATAGAGCATGTAAATAAGAAACAATGTTAGGTAATCAGAGGATAAGGAAAAGGAGCATGTGTAATTTAGGCGAAAACATAAAATAGTATAAAGGGCAGAGATGGATGAATGAATGAGGTAAGGAGTAGATTGTAAACCAAATCCCTTCATGGCAATATAAAAAGCTGAAGAAAATAAGAAATAGGACAGTTAATTAGTTACTAGAATTTGTGTAGTATTATCATTATGTTTAAGTGTTTTACGTAATAATTTTGATGGTTCAATAAAATTATTTTCAGATCTCTATTTAGCCAAATTTTTAGACGTTTCAAACCGTTCTTTCCGTACTAATTTTTCGCATATGTCTTTTCTTAAAAATATTAAAGCACGAATACAAAAATATTTTTTTCTTTGAAAAAAAAGACAATTGTAAGAATAATCTTTTGATTTAAATGTACGGAACAGTTTTGCTGGCAAATCTAAAAACTTGATTAAATACAGTTTTGAAAATAATTTTATTAGGCATTCAAAGTTATTATATACGACATTTAAATAGGTAGAAAATAAAACATTTTTACAATATTATTATTATTATAAATATAAATATAAATATGAATAAATGTTAATGCAAATATAAATATAAATATAAATACAAATAATAAATATAAGTTTAAAAATCTTATATAATTTTGATAGTTCAAAAAAATTTTATTTTCTTTCAGATCTGTGATCAAATTTTTTAAATTTGCCAGCAAAACTATTTTCTTCATGTGTCTACTGTATGTTTTTTTTAATCAATACGGATATGAATAGTTCGCGCATTTTTTCCACAACGGACTCACCTCGCTCTCACGACTCAGCCTTCTGAATAACTCATCGCTCTCGAACTTGGCCTTCTGATCAGGCACGACGCGCGGCATCTTAAAGACAAGTCGGGGTGGCCGTGGTTGTTCGTACAGACCCATTCCATCAAATGGCAACACACCCACGCCCGCATGCTCGCTCATTGCGTGCATCATCTTTGTCGCCGGGTTAACCCCCCCCTCGTACCTCTCTCCTGCAACAACAACTCTCTTCTCCTCCTCGCGAATGTCACTGGCTCGTCACTAGTATCACTACCGATACTAGTCTCTCGATACCTTCCACGTATACGCAAGATGTATGAGTAACCCCTAATTTTCAGAAGAAAAAAAAAAGGAGTACAAGATATGGACGAGGAATCACTTCGTATCCTCTTTCGCGCGATCACCACGATCACGATTGGTCTGAGATATCCGCGAGGAGACACTCTCTTGCCAGAACGATACGCACCAAGTGGCGCCTAAGTGGAGACTGGAGCACCGAAAAGCAGCGCGCCAAGTTTCCCCCATGCTCTCTCGCTCGTTCCCGGGGAGCCCGACACGCCTCTGGACCGCCCTCTTTCCTACCGACTGTCTCTCTTTCCTACCGTTATGAATCACGGATTTCTCCAGCAACCAGCCAGCCAGCCAGCCCGGTTCCCGATTCAACCCTCCGGAGCCGATGTCGTATACCCGGAGCACCGGGAGCTCTCACCCCGAGTATGTCAACGTCGGTGTGTGTGTGTGTGTGTGTGTGTGTGTGTGTGTGTGTGTGTGTGTGTGTGTGTGTGTGTGTGTGTGTGTGTGTGAGAGAGAGAGTTTGCCTGGCAATCTAGTTTCGTGATTTTATAAATGGAAGGAAAAGCGTTGTTGCTCTCCGCCTTGCAAGCCGTTTTATTTCCAAAGCGTTCCGGAATATGTCTTGTTTTCTTATAAAGAGGATTGAAATCGGAAATACAAGATCTTTAATGGAAAGCTCGGGTCAGGATATTTTATGGAGCACAATTCTAACGAATCTTAGAATCTTGAAATTAAAACTCGATATTATAAACGCTTCTATTATTTATTTCATTTGACAATTATGATCCTAAAAACGTATCCTATAAACAAGATAGAAAAATAAGCCGCGTTATTTGTAATGCCATTACGCGTTTTAATTGTTTTTTTTTTTTCAGTGATGAACTGATAACGATATTATATTTTCTTATTAATAACGATAACAATAACACAGTTATATTTTTGGGATAATGATAACGAATATAACTGTTACTTTTATCGTTACTTTGGCATGTTGAATACAAATATACAAACAAGTACTAAAATAGAGTTTTCGAAATTTAGTCAAATAGCGGTAATGAATTTCTTTTTAAAAATACACGGAGAGCATAATTTTGCTGAAATATCTAAAAACTTACCCAAATATAGATCTGAAAATAATTTTGTTGGACCATCAAAATAATCAGTAGAACGTTTAAAATGGTCTATAGAATATAAAAAAATTTTTGCGGTATTCTCATCATACTTAAGTGTTCTACATCATTTTAATGGCTTAAAAAAATTATTCTCAGATCTATATTTTTAAAACTGTCACATACCACATAATTTGTATAAATATATTTTCTAACCACATTTCCAAAATTATTAGTTATCTGAAGCCTTTCTACGAAAGAGAAATCGGAAACCAAGGACAGAAGAATAGAAGAGATAGAAAATTTTTTACTGTTTCCTCGAGGAGGCAGGCATAAAATTTTTTGCGCTCTCAACGACACGAAGGGATGCACTGCCGGTGTATAAAGCTGTATACCAGCGGGATTAGCGAGAGTATCGAGATTGGTTACAATGTCCCTCGCAGGGATACGGGAAATATATGTCAGATGGAGGGGAGGGAGATGCCCGTTTTGGTCGCCGGATGCCTGCTTAGATAATATAACACCGCGTGTATCCCCTCGAGGGAAGAGATCTTCATCGTATCTCTCTCAAGTGGCGGGGCTCATCCATTTGAGAGGATCATTGTCGAGGATCCGCGCGCGATTAAAATCAACGACCCTCCGACGAGCGCGCGGTCCATGGCGTTACCGGTCATGGATACCCATTTATCCTTTTTTCCTCCCTTTTTGTTCCCTTTCCTCCCTCCTCTTAAGCGCCGTTAGTGCTGCTTCGATTTTTCGATTAATCTCACTGTTCTATTTGTATACACTTGAACATATGACACAAACTAATGGATATCTAAATATTTTTTATATAATTTTACATTTAAATTTTATCAAAATTGTATAAAAAATATTTAGATATTTTTACCCTCATATTTTCTAAATATTTTTTATATCCATTAATTACAATAAAATATTTTTGTATTGTAAAATTAGAACATCTGTAAGATAGCAGATAAATTAATCCATCATCCACAATAAATTTTATCCGGTGTGTTTTACAGCAACGTGTGTATATTATGAGATTTTTTGTCATTTTAGGGAAGAAGCAATAAAAAGAGAAAACATCCGGTGGGCCGGATAACCATAAAAAAAGCGCTGTTCTTTCATCGTGTTGATGTTTTAAAAATAATTTATTTTAGCTGGCAAATACATTTTCAATTTAAAATCTTATAATCCTACATCCGCTACATAAGAATATGACACAAATGTTCTTTTATATGTAAAAGTAGAGCATAGAAAATAAAAGTCAAGGTTGCAAGTATTATTAATTTGATTAAGAAGGGCAACTTTTTCCGTAACTAATCCCGTAACTTCACAAATATTCAATTCTTTTCTTTATTTTACAATATGTTATTTTCCACGAAATTTTCCTCTTTATTTTTCGCTTCATTGTATTATTTGATCTTTCCTGTGGCAGAAATAAGCGTTACACACTTTCTAATTTCAAGGTTGGTGTCCTTTTACAGATTTTGAATACGATTACAAACGAGGAGATTTATTTTTGTCCCTTCTTTATCTTTTCGAGACACCGACTTTTAGCAATGCTAGAGTTATTCGTAAAAAGCCTTATTTTCTTGGATATTCTTTCGTATAATAAATAAATAAATATAAATTAATTAATAATATTTAAATACATACTTATATTTGTTCACAAAGGAGAGCGTTAAAATGGCTACAAGATTAATATAATTAACATCGTTCTCGAAGGACACGTTCGTTTTCCACGTTCGCATGAATATCTAAACGTGGCAAGAGAAATTTCACGCGCGTCTCGATCGAGATGAGCGAATCTCCGCCCCTCGCCGCGCACTATTGGTCCAGCAGACTCCGCCAATCGCAGCCTCCTCCTAAGTTCACGAAGGGAGGAAGTGCACGCATGATGCACACGCGCGCACGTGCGTGCATATGACATATCGTTGGCTGCGAATATGCTCGAGCAAAAAGGGCAAAGAGACATGGCTTGATCATCGATTCGCTTTCCTACGTCGACTCGAGAGATTAGCTCTTTATCCATTTTCTGCACGGAGATGTATGTCATATCATAAATGCAGATTTATATATTTTTCAGAAGTTTATATAAATGTCAAACTGTCATTAAAATTGAATGATGATCTGCCATATCTCTTGCCGCAATCTTGATTAAGAAATTTTGTTTAAGCACATGTTCAAATGTTATATAATCGCGCGTAACTGTAATATAAATTTAAACAATACAATTACTTTTGTCCAATCTGTAAATTTTGTTTGTCAAAATATTTATCTATGTCTGATTTGTTATCTAAAATAATATTTTAATTATTAAAAACTTTACAACTTTATTGCATTTAGCAACAACCAAATTTGTGGTTAATAATTTTTAAATTCGTCAGCAAAGGTATTCCGTGTATATTTTAATATTTATTTGTATTTCTATCAATGCAAAAAATTATTTTTATTAAGTAAAAGTGAAAGATATAGTTTCATACTAATAAATCTAAAAATTATTTACAACTTTTTGAACATTACTGATATGTAGTACGATGATGCCATAAACACTTTCGAAAGTTCGTGCATTTCTCGACGGGCGACGGAGATCGATATCGCGGACGTTTTCGTTGCCAAAGAAACTTGGATACCCGTTCTATATATTGCAAACATCCGCGCGATCAAGTATGCAGGATGTCGAATCGAGGAAGAATACGAAGCGAGGACGAACCTTCCTGGCAACGAAGAGCGTACGAGCGTCACCGTTCTAGGGTGAGCCTTCATGAATTATAAATGTTATTCTTGTTCCAACACTATTTTAATATTTTACTGATATTTCTTTCATCAAGCTCTCTTTCAAGCTGTCTTGATGAAAGTTCCAAGGATTTAATGAAAGCCTCAGTACTAAAAACACTCGTAGAGGCAATCCTCGAATAAAAAATAAAATAAATAATGCACTCGCGTGAAAATAAAAATCTCAGAAATAATTTATATATTAAACTATAATTTTAATTTATATATTAAATTATAATTATGTATTAACTATATAATCATGTATAGAAAAGAATAGTTTTGCTGAAAGATAAATTTTAGTTAGATACAAATCTGAAAAAAATTTTGCTTGATCATCAAAATAATTACATAGAATTAAACAAGTTTTTGCATCATTATACTGCAGTATTTTAATTATAATTATTTTAAGTTTAAGCAAAATTATTTTCAGATCTGTATTTAGCCAAAGTTTTAAATATTTTAACAAAATTGTTTCTTCTATGTACATTATGCCTATCCAATTTTAAATTTTAACTTTTTATTATGTTGCATTACAAATACATCCCATGACACTCGTAATGCTAAAGCATCATTTATCTTTGCTTAAACATTTAATAAAACTGAGATGATTCTCAATAAGAGTTCTCGACTCTCTTACGATTAACTAATTTCAATAACTTTTTGAACGAGTTAAATATTATTTTCTTTAGACATGAGTCTCATTTATTTTGCTCTGTGACAGAAAATTTATGATTATTACTTTTATACCTTTTCTTAACCTTGTAGGTAAAGACGGCCAGACCGACGGTAGACGTAAAGCCTCCGGAGGACAGACCTCACGTATTGTTCAATGCGAAAAGACTACAGCTAGAACGCGAACGACAAGCGCGAATTGTCAGAGAAAATTTCATCCTGTTAAAGAAACTACGGGAGATCATGCATCGAAAGCGACGGGTAGCAGATGATACTCAACGGGTTCAATGGCAGGAGTCTAGATGTGTGAGGACTCGTTAAGGAAGAGAAACTTGACGAGATACCCCTCTGCGTACACATTTGCAATTTACATGTATGCACTATCTTTTGTACTTTACTTGAAATGAAAAAAACAATATATACATGCAGACCTAATCAATCGTTGATTTCTAGCATATTTTTTTCTATTTGAAATTATTGTACATTGGTCTACTGCATGAATTTTTAATAAATTTCTAATATTCTCAAGATTGTATCTTTGTCTTTTATCATTATTTTAAAATGCGAGATAATTGACGGTTTATAAAAAAACCTGTAATTATGTAATGTATTTTTCTTATTATAATAATTTAATATTTAAACTTTTTTAAGCTCTTAAAGCTAGATTGTACTTATTAATATTAATATTAAATCAAATTAAAATATAATATAATTTAACCTGCATCATGTATTATATATATAATTTTTTTTCGTTTTATTTTTTTTTCATTCATATCTTAATCAATCGTAACCTAATTTGTTAAACTAAATTAAATTATAAAATTGTTATGGAAATTAAATTGATGTCGATTTGTCTCTGTTTTTTTCGAAATCTAATTAGTGTATCGTTTGATGTATCATATGTCATTAATGTGTCAAAGAAAGAGGCTAGATTTTCACGAATAATGTTGCATTCTTTCGACGATAATGTAAGTAATACATTTAACTTTAATACATATTATAAATTTATATACTTATTCTTAGTTGAAAAATATATTGAAGCTAAATTAAATTTCAATCAAAATAAATGCTAATTAATTTTTTACTACTTTATATTTAAATTTCTTTAATAAAACTGATTATATGCTAATAATATAAATATTAGACTTTCTGCTTTAATAGCAAATTAAAAATAACTTCGTTAAAAACAAATGGAGGAAGAAAGTTATGAGCAGAAAACTGAAGAAAAACTTGCCGAAAGAGTGATTTTTGATGAAGAGGATCAATTCAAATATGAATCAACGATTTCGTTGGACGAGACCGAGCAGAATAAATTACGTGTGTTAACACACAACGAGGCCGGCGAGTGTCTTCACACTTTGGGAAAATGCATCGCGTTGCATGAGTATGCTTATCTCAGCCTGGACGCCTCGGACAGAGATCTTACGGATATCAATGTGATATTATCCTTCAGACACGTTCGTCATGTGAACGTGTCGGGAAACAGATTGACGTCAGAAGCACTGCGTGTACTCGAAGCGATGCCGTATTTGCAGACACTGCGAGCGGATCGAAATTGTCTGATCAGCGCGGAATTGAATTCGATGCCCTATCTGCAGGTAATTCCGTGATTCTTAATCCTTGATTCATGTTCAATGGAATTGAATTCATACACGTAGATAGATCCATGTTTGTAAGATGAGTTCAAAAATGCAGGAGCTCTCCCTGAATCAAAACAAGTTGAGGGATGCAGCTGGCATTCATCACAGGTTGCTCGAACGTCTGGAATTGAATCACAATGATATTTGCACTGTGGCTATTGATCCGCAGAATCTTCCGAACTTGAAGACTTTAGAGTTACGCGGTAATGCGCTAGTCAGTACAACAGGTAAGATGCATGAGAACGAGACGAAATCCATTATTTAGAGATTAGAAGAAGTCCGAGATTAGAAGAAGCCGGGAGAACGAAACAGATCTCGATACTTACAAAAAAAAAAAAAACACATAATTTAATTATTTTGCAGCAAAATTTTGCTGAAATTAGAGAACAGAAAAAGATAGAATAAATTTGTAAATAATTTGAATTTGGGAATAAAGTAATATTAATATTTAATATTTAATATTTAATATTTATATATAATTATATAATATATAAATATTTGGAATAAAATAATTTGCAAATTAAATAAAGTTATTTCAATAAATAAAAGTAATCTTCTTGAAAAATTTTCTTGCAGTTAATAATAATGAAATTTATTACAAATTTTTCATAAAATCTTTTTCTTCATAGGAACTAGATTTTTGTAAAATTTACGTTTTTTTGAATAACGATTTGATTTTTTGCTTTTCACAGAAATTTGTTGTCCCACTTTGACGCAGCTCTTTTTAGCTGAGAATCAGATCGAGAAAATCGAAGGACTTGATGCTCTCGTGAATTTGAGAACACTACACTTGCGAAATAATAAACTTGCGAATTTGGACGGCTTCACAGAACGATGTCACAGTTTGAAATACTTAAATCTGCGCAATAATGAGATCTCGAGAATATCAGAGCTGGAAAAATTAAGCTGTCTATCAAATCTGGAAACGCTTATCATTTTGGGAAATCCTTTTCTGAAGAAAGAGGCAAAAGAGGAAGAAGAGAAAGAAGCGAGACAAGAATACAGATACATCATTCTGACAATTCTACCGAAACTAAAGAGGATCGATAAAGATCCTGTACTGGATTTTGAGAGGAACGAGGTAAAACTCAGAAAAATCCAAAAAAACAAATTAAATTCCGAAAAATTTGATTTAAAAGATTGAAGATTGAGATAATCGAATTAAAAAAAAAGAGATCAAAATTTTAATCAAATATCTTCATTAAAACATTTTTTTTAATCTTCAGATGTCCAGTATCAATTTTTTTCAATCAATTATTATTATCCTTTTAAACATTTTGATTGTTATTTATTCAAAATAAGTGTTAATTAATATCCCTTTCTAATTTTTGTATTATTAACATGGATTAAACATATTTTCTACAGTTTCAGTTCAATAGACAATAATTATTATAGATAATAATAATATAGATGTAAATAATAATAATTTCAAATTTAGAAAATCATTGAAAATACAAGTTACATTAATTTAACTAACTTAAATTTAATTAACTCAATATGATTTGTCAACAAAAATTTAATAAATCACACATATATTATTTTGAAAGCGGTATTATAAGGCTTTTGAAACAAAACTACAAAATAATTTACGGTTAAACAAACTCAATATTTTTTTAATATCCTTTATAATTTTTTAAAATATATATAAAAAATAGATTTTAATTTTCATCCTGTTCTATTATTTATTTTAATCCTTTTTAAATTAAATTGTAATTTTGCTTCTGCATTTTCCAGTATTTATTGCATTATTGTTCAATGTGTTTATGAAGATATACGTACATGTTAAACTGTATGTAAATGTCCAATATATTAAGCTCAGGTTTGCGGGTTCGGTAAACCGAAATGACCATGCGAATCAGGATCATCCCTTCGAGCTGTGGGATCCATTACATAGCCTTCCGTGATCCATTACACAGCCAACTCGCGCCATCTCGTAATGATAACTTGTAATACCAATTCATTTTCTGGAAAAAAGAATGCAAGTTTATTTCCAATAATCTCGATCGATATTCATAATTCTTTTTTAGGATATCCTTAAATAATATACTTAAATCTTACAATTTTGTTTATAATTTTTGTCGTATATTTTAATAATTTTATTTGTATAATAATGTATAATATAAATATATATATTTTAATATATATGTTTTTGTATTAGACTGTATATTTACAAAGAAAATTCTACTTTAAATTCAGATACGAATTGTAAGTTCACTAAAGAGAGTTTTAGGCCAATAATAATAATGAAGATAATATAAAATAATTATAATAAAGATACCGATAAGAAGTTACTCATACTGATTACTGTAATAAGGCATTTTGTCATTACAGCGCGTTTGTAATTTTATGAAAATCTATTTACTTCGCAAAATTTATATAAATAAATTTTTTCTAAAAAACTAATATCACTTATACAAAAAGAAAAAGCTGTTTAATCGCCATTTTTTATCATTCTACACAAATAAATTCAAAATAATCAACTTTTTCTTTCACCATTTCATTTGAAACATAGCCGCTTGATTTGAAGATCTCGCTCGAAGTAATCGCAAAACGAAGGGAATGACGAATCATTATTCGATCCTAATGCCAACATTGTTTATTCGATCACATCAATACAAAAATGTATCTGTAAATGACGATTTCCTCTTCGTTTCGATCTCTCATCGACCTCACGAAACTTGCGAACGACGCGCGCGGCAAGAACTGAACAGCGACGAATTAGAACGCAGTCACGTGACAATTGAAACTCCGGGAAACTCGGTCACGTGGCTCGAGTTATGACGTCACGTTCTCGAATGGTGATACCGGCACGTCTCAGCATATAGGTTACCGCCGTCGTAGGTTCACTCTTTTATTCGGCCTGTACACATCGATCCGAACACGACGCACCGACGCACCGACGCACCATGATGCAAAGCAAGCCTCTGCATAAAGTCGGTAAGTGATATGCCAAATGTTACGAATATTTCGGAATAAATCGGAGAAATACGAGCGCGGAATGGAACACGTGCTCGCGACTCGTTTGTCAAGTACAACGTGAAGTACGGAACTCGTCGTTACGGAACAATACGAGATGTTCGATATTCGCCACGGACATTCAGTTTAGACAAGTTTTTTTAATTCATCGATCATTGATTAATCGCATTATGCGCAAACGCTATTTTTACGAACAAAATTGTATTATTGCGCATAATGCGAGTCATCGATCGATGAATGAAAAATTCGCCTTTTTGTTGTTTATTTTTGTTATTAGGCTGTGATAAAACTTTTTTTTTCTTTTTTTCAACTTCAAATATATATCTATTTCATTTTAAATACAATTTTAAATACTCCTAGTATCCATTTTAAATTCACCTAGTAAAAAACAGATTATTTTGCGATATCTTATCGAATATATACATCGAATAAATATTCATTATAAATTCATAAATTATTTATCATGCGCTAAAAATATTAAATATAAAGTAATTTTCGATTTATTAATCCATCAATGATTATACCTAACATTTTAATGGAAATTTTCATGATTATAATTTTAATAAATTAATATATTTATTACATATCTATATATTGTAATAAATTATGATAGCATATTATCCTTTGAATAATTGAATGAACAAGATAGTTACATGAAAGTCATAATATAAGAAATACACAAAAAAAAAACAACAAAAGTTAAGTAATATTCGAAACATATAGTGAGTCATAATGAGTTCCTATATTACTTGAAATAAAGATGTAGATATGATCTAAGAAATTCATATTTGTTCATTATTCATTAAAAAATTAATATTCTTTAAAAATTATGCATTGCTTATCACGCTGGCTTTTCATAGTTTCCAATTTCCAGTTTTATATTATAAAATCTTATATATCATATATATTAAAAAATATTAATTATACAGTTTCAAAAGTAGAGATCAATCACTTAGAAGAGGACTCTTAGAAGAGGAGAAAAACAAGAAAAAAATTGGTATGAACATAGATCTGGAAATGTGTTATATTATAATTTTTATGTTGAAATTTCAAATTGCTTTGCTTTCGAATTTTTTGTCAAAATTGAAAAAACGAGAGTCTTTATGAGTTTTATAACAATAATTAAAATTAAAAATTTTTAATTTAAAATTAAAATTAAAAATTGCGAACTGCTTTAGTATAACTTTAGTACAACAAGACATTTTCGAATTACGTTACCAACTTTTTTTTTGTTTTTTAAGTCTCCATTCATCTTCCAAGTGACCTCAATTTACGGAACATCCTGTATATAATATAATTTATATATATCAATTTAAAGACTGTTATTTCTTGGTTTTAACTTTCCAATTTAACTAGAATAAATTTTTCAGCCAACTTGGATCTGGCGGACTGGGGTCGCAAGGAGATCACCCTGGCGGAGAACGAAATGCCAGGGCTTATGTCACTTAGGAAGAAGTATGGCCCATCAAAGGTGTTGCAGGGTGCGCGAATCGCTGGCTGTCTTCACATGACTGTGCAAACTGCGGTGTTGATTGAGACCCTGGTGGCACTCGGTGCGGAGGTGAGAGCTAAAAAGATTGAGCCTAATACTTCTAACAAGTTTAATTCACATGTTTCGTTAATTTGATATGTTAACGATAAGAAGCAGCGGTAACGCTGATGGAATTTTAGTAGCTGTTTACTTGGCGAGAGATACGTAAAGATAAACCCGATTTACATATGCGTTATCATTTTTGACCGTGACCTCTCTTGTGAAGTCTAAATGTATTTATTTAAGAATATTTTTTTTTCCTTTATGTATGCTGCTCTAGAATTTCAATGTGATATTTGACTATGAAGTGAATAAATATTAATGATAATATTTTTCTTTATATTTCCGAAGGTCTTCTGTTCGTTTAAAAATATTAACAGAAAACTTCAATAAAAATCCGTTTGTCTCGAGTTACTTTTTTATATCAATAAATATCAATAAATTAATTTATAAATTAATGTATGATTTCAATTACAAAAATTATTAGATATTTAAAAGACAAAATTATGTTTATAGAAAAAAATCAACGATTTTTCTTATGCGTTATTTAAGATTGAATATAATGATTGAAATAAATGATGAAAATAAATTGAAATTAAATCTTTTACATGATAATCTCGTTACATGATACAATATATGATACCATATAATAATATATCTAAGTATGATGTATTATTTGATATAAACAAATCGCTTCATTTACTGTGTAGATTATCAGATTTAAAACTACATAGTTGTTTTGAATCTAATAACTCTCGAATCTTAATGATATATTCTTATATTGTAGGTGCAATGGTCGTCTTGCAATATATTCAGCACGCAGGACCACGCAGCGGCGGCGATAGCAAAAACTGGAGTACCAGTGTATGCATGGAAGGGTGAAACCGACGAGGAATACATATGGTGCATCGAGCAGACTCTCGTATTCCGGGACGGTAAGCCGTTCAACATGATCCTCGATGACGGCGGTGATCTAACGCAACTCGTGCATACCAAGTATCCAGATTATCTCAAGGAATGTCGGGGCCTGTCTGAGGAGACTACCACTGGAGTAAAAAATCTTTATCGCATGCTGAAGGAGGGTACGCTTAAAGTGCCAGCGATTAACGTCAACGATTCCGTCACGAAGGTTTGTACACGCTCATACGAACAAAATTATTAGCAAACAAGATTATGAAATTATAGATAAACCACAAAATATGGAATTTGTATGTTATCAATTAGAAAAAAAGTAAGAAAAAAGTACTGCTCATGACTATGATTATTCGTGGATTAAAATCTAATAGTCATCATTTGTACCAAGATAATATAAGATTGCGCAGAATAGTGATGAGACAGATAAATGGATGAGATAAGAAGTGAAGAAATTCAAATGTATGACGTCGCACTTCCAAAGATAATATTTCTCGAGATAGCAAATAATTAGAAAATAGCAAATTAATAAAAATCTATTAATATCTAAAATAGATTCTAAATAGATTGCATAACTGATTGCATAACTGATGTATTAATAAAGTTGATTTGCTAATTTGGTTTTATATTTTTGACAGAGTAAATTCGACAATTTATACGGATGTAGGGAATCCTTAATAGATGGTATCAAGAGAGCGACCGATATTATGATCGCTGGTAAGGTGTGCGTGGTAGCCGGATATGGAGATGTGGGTAAAGGATGCGCGCAAAGTCTCAGAGCTCTTGGTGGTCGCGTTATCATCACGGAAATCGATCCTATCAATGCGCTTCAAGCGGCTATGGAAGGATATGAGGTAAATAATAAAAAAAGAAATCCGATCAATTTTAAAATCGCGTAACAATCAATTTGTTTCGAGCATTGATTACATATGCCACAAATTAAAATTAAGAAATATTCTTAGTACTCTAAAATTAATAAGTAATTTTATCAGAAAATATAATTAAAATAGTTACTATGAGTGTCAGTTCAAGTCATTACATTTAAATATTATAAATTTTGAGTATTATTTTCAATTATTTCGAGTGAAAATAATTTTTTAAATCGTCCAAATATTAGGTTTTACGTTGGTTAATAAATAATTTTAATCTACAGGTGATGTCGATGTCGGATGCATGTAAAAAAGGCCAGATATTCGTGACCGCTACAGGATGTAAAAACATTCTGACTAGTGATCACTTCATGAATATGCCAAATGATGCCATCGTATGTAATATAGGACACTTTGATTGCGAGATCGATGTTGCGTGGTTGGAGAAAAATGCCGAGCAGAAGATCAATATAAAGCCACAAGTGGACAGATACCTATTAGGAAACAACAAGTATGTTATGTAGTTGCTGAATTGTGAATGAATTGTATCTTATGATTAGCAAATTAAATCATATTGTAGGCATATTATTCTTCTTGCGGAGGGTCGTTTGGTAAATTTGGGTTGCGCGACAGGCCATTCGAGCTTCGTCATGAGCAACTCGTTCACGAATCAAGTACTCGCGCAGATTGAACTCTGGACGAAACCAGGCCAATACAAGATTGGCGTGCACATGCTGCCAAAGAAGCTGGATGAGGAAGTTGCGGCGTTGCACTTGGAACATTTAGGTGTGGTCTTAACAAAATTGACGCCAGAACAAGCCAAGTATTTGGATGTACCTACGGAAGGACCTTACAAACCTGATCATTATAGATATTAGTCATCGATACTTAATGTGTGCAAAAATTTGTAATAAGCTACAATTACAGTTATTGTTCTTGTAATTATGATGGCATTTGATTGACGAGTGCATTAAAATTTTCATCTTTTTATAAATCTCTTAATAGTCTCAAACATCTCAAAAAATATACTTTGTATATATTTAATTCGGATACAATACAATTAAAATCATTTAATGTTTTACTGTTTTATTTTTTATAATTAGTTTTCAAGTAATTGGCTAAAATTATAGATAATGTGTAAGATAAAAAGAAATTTATTTTTCTCATAACCATAGCTATCACAGATCACAACTATATACAATTTATTTGTATACATTTCATCTACATTATCTATGTTTTAAAGAGTACTGAATTTTCCTGCAAACAATAACAGCCGCAGCCCGTAGGACATACTATCTCTTTAGCAAACCATGCTGCTAAGTGCTCAATATGTCCACCGTGGCCGCAAAACATGCAAGAGTTACTCGCACCTAGATTTTCCAACAAAAAAATTTTTAGTTTTCTGAGTTTTTTTTATCGAAACAGCTTAGTTAAAAAACTACGAACCTCTGACTGTGACATGGCATATGATACATTGGAAGCTTAATCCCTTGCAATTCGCACATTGTGGCCCTGTACTGATCTTGCCGCAGATTCGGCATTCATTCTGCAATTCGACGTCCTTCTGCACATCAAATGATGACGTGCTCAAATGCTTCAATACTTGCGCCCGAGCATCTAACAACTCCCATCGATGTAATGCTTCAGCATACGCCTTCTTATAACTATCGTACAATGCTGTGTATTTTTCATCGAATAACCTGCATATAATATTCGATATTTGCATTACAACTTGAAACATGCTTATGCATAGAAATTTGAAAAGATGTCTAAAGAGAGAACACTCGAAAATTTTTCCAGTGTTTCTCTATAATATTTTGCAAACACAACTGTGCTAAATTCATAAAATATACTTGATGTTTTTTGCCGAGTCCCCGAAATCTTGAATGACTTTCAAGTCATCCAGCGATTCCGACCATGAATTTGATCGATGTTGTTTCAGATTCTGAAAATTCCATCCTTCAAACGTAGTATCTGCCAGATGTATTGTATGGTAAGGCGAGCCACCAGGCTGCAAAGAAATACTGAATGAAACAGATTCACAAGATTTATACAATTGAATATGCAATTGAAATGTATATCAATTGCATACACTATATATACATAATAATCATACATAGCATATAACACACAACACACGCACACACAAAATAATAAACTAACACTGCAATGAGTTATTAATGAATAGAAGTATGTATATGAACTTTCTTCACAGAGGGGTGACAATTACTTGAGGTAATTGATTATGGAAAACAGCACATGTCGTTTAACCACCAATTGCGATTTGCAACGAATAACATACACATTATTTTCTTTTTTTATGAATCACATTTATACAAATACATAATGCAAAATTTGTATAAAATTCTTAATCGGTTACAATAAGCAAATCCACTTGGTGTCATAATAACACTTTCGATCCGACGCTGAGAGACGAATACAAAACAATGGTTGTGTAACATAAAACCTTTATATAACATAAACTCTTTATAACACTTTCTTTTAATGGAACTCTCAGAGATCTTACCTTTAACCACCATTTTCCTGTGGAAAGCCTCTATAACAAACGTAATATTATATCGTTAGCTGTGATATATATATATATATATTTATATATGTAATTAGAAAACACAAAAATACGTCGGTACAGTATATTATATTTATTGAACAATAATGCATAGATTGAATTTTTGATCACCGTACATGATTTTTAAGATTTTATAAATAATTACTAAATAGTAGCCTCAGTTAAGTGATTTACGTGTAATATTTTCATTAATATTATTTATGATCATTAAATTATACATACTATACCGTCGTAATTGCATCAATTACATAAATTTATGATTTACACATTACTCTCAAAAAATGTTCCCTCATGCATCGGAAGAAAGACACATGTGCTGTGCATGATAGTCTGTGTTCTTAGTAAGTACTGAAGAACTATTGCAGACTAAAAGGCGAAAATGTGATCGATAAATGTGTAATTTCTTCCCTCAATTCGCGAGATAGATAATCGTATCAATGCTGCATTATGAGGAGAAAGTTTCAGGTGATGCAATCTGCACTTCTTACTCTTTCACACAAACTGCGTACTTACACTGACATTCACTGACTTGCTAGTCAACCTGGTTTGTGAAGAGTCCATGTTCTCTGATCGGTAGCTAAGTGCACAGCTCAACATGCCAGCCATCTGAACATCAGACTGTTTAGCGTAATGTTGTATTCTGAATAAATATAAAGTAATTAATATGTTATAATTAATTGACCGATAATAGTTGAAGCAATAATTTACGGAAAGATTGATTAAATAAAACTTGTTTAAATTCTTTTAAATTTTATAGGTATAAATTAACACATTTACATCTTAACTGATAAACAGTATTATCAGCTTTCTATCATTTAATTTGATTAATATTATTTAGATTCGATATATCCTCTTTCCAATTATAATTTTAATTGTAATATATAATACATAGTATATAATGTAATAATGTAGTAATATATAATAATAAAATCCAGACTAATGCTTACAAGAAATGTATTAAATTTTGGCCCCAAGGATGTAATGGCCATGGAGCACTGATATCAGGAGAATGACTCAATTGATAAGAATTCTGCTCAGTATTGGAAGGTGGTTGCGAAATTATTAAACCAGCTAAACACCAAGTCTGAATTAAATCAGGTCGTTCCAATGTAGCAGCTACATTTGCATTGTACTGATACATGGCCGAAATGTCAGCGGTGTTGATTCTTAAAACAAAATATTTTCACAAGTTTTTAAAATGTAATACAACACATATGTACAAGTTTTTAAAATGTAATGCAACACATATGTACAAAACTCGTACACTCAGGCAGTACATTTTAAATATTATACTTACGTATATTTCTCAGCGAGTTCCTTATTGACGAAGAATAATGATGAAATATCATATATCATAACCATTGGATGACAATTTTTGAAATATGATCGATCATGTATTCTACCCGTGCCATGCAATCCGCGTCGAAGATCTTTCTGCTGATAGAATTGCAGTTGGATAGACAATGCGTGTATATATTACAAATGTACAATTTTGAATTGAGAATAGTATAAGCAATTCTCATGTGTTAAATTTAGACGATTAATTTTTATTAAAGTGAAGAATAAATACAAAATTCATTCGAAATTAGTTATCTGCGATTAGTGTCTTCTATTTATTCATTCTTATTTTTATCGATTAAAGTATGCCTTACACGATCTTGAAAATAGTATGAACTGATGGACATATTATCATTGGTTGGCACGTAGGAACTTCGATACATATGCATGAAAGATTCGCCGTTACCAATGTTATTGTCCAAGGCGGACAATGCTCTGGGCGTCGCATCGCCCGGTTTCATCGATGACCTTCTTGCATAGGAGGGACGGCCAAAACAAACGAGAATACCTATCCACAAAATAGTCAAGAAAGCACATAAAAAATTAAACGTTGAAAAATGAGCATATACACACCTACGCAACAAAATTTAGCGCCGGATGTTCTAGGAAATGGTATGTAAGAATCTTGATAATTCGCACAGATATTGGGAGAGTTCAGGAAGGTATTATTATCCTGCATATGATATGCCAAATGATCGGTTTCGTCTTCGTCTTTTTTACACATCTGTTGAATAAAAATCAAGATTTTTATTTGAATGCTATATTCAAGTGATTAAAAGAAAAAAGATTCTAACTTGCTCCAGAGTTATATTTAATTGCCGGAGACACGGTTCTAAGCACGATCTGTTCTTCTTGACGCGATGCTGAGCGGTCTGCACGAGAACCTTGAGCAACTTGGTCATCATTACGTTGTCAATCGACGTGCCAGGACAAAATTGAAATGTTGGTTGAGCGCTGCACGGATAATTCACAGGGAAATTTACTTTTAATATCACATTATAATTTTTTGTACATGCGGTTATCGTACAACTTCTCTCCACAACGTCCATCGCGTTTACCTGAATCGAAATGTAAATATTAGTTTTTTCAAGTCAAGTTAGTATCTCACATATTTAATGTACTATTACCTCTATATTTGGTATATTCATATTTATCAAAGAGAACTCCTGCTGCAAACTCTTTGGTTGAGTAGGAGACGAAACCTTTTTGGAATTATCTGGAAGACTGATTGTTTCAGACTGCGTCACAGGCTCATCCACTTTGGTCGTTATATAATTTATTTCAGGCTCAGTCGGAGAAGTATTTATCTGCAATTCTTGAACGGACTGCAAAGTTCCTATAAAAATAATTGTTGTATAGAAAACAATTTTATCAATGGGATCTAGACATGTTCTACATACTTAGATTACTTTCTTCGGAATACTGGCTGTAGACTGACAGACCATCATCCATACCATTGCTGCATAACTAAAAAATGATAAGAAATCTTTATTATTTGCAATTTTTATCGTTCATAAAGCTGCATAAAGATAAGTTGTATCTTACTTTCTTTATGAAAGGACTAATCTTAAATATTCTCAGACACTGATCCTTAGACCATGTAACGAGTTCAAACTCGCTATTTTCTATAAACATATACGAATAGAATTATAATATAATGATATGCTCTCTATAATTGTTTTTTTAAATTTCTCAATATAACAATACCTAATTTTAAATGTCGCCATTGAAATTCGAGAACGACATCCGTATGACCCACAAATGTATATATTGGTGCACTAAAATTCGATGTGTTCCATAGCAAAAGACTATTTTCCCCACGTCGTAATTGCGGCACTACTATTGTTACTAAACCTTCGCCAAAAGGCTATAAAAAAATTTTATCTATGATGCATACAGTAATCCAACGAAAATTTGTCTACAATTGTTTTTTTACCGTATATCTTGCTCTCCACACAGGAGAATTTGTTGTCAAAATACTCTCGGCTCTGCGTGGATTGACAATGTCGAAGATCTTGACGGTGCAGTCTTGACTCGACGTTGCCAGTTGATTTTGTTGAAAGGGACACCAATCTAAACCGTGTATCTAAAATTGCATCGACAGATATTCTCTTTCGCAAAAATCATTAATTACTATTACAAAACTATATACTTTTGTTAAGTGAGCTGTTATGTATTGCACAGGACTCGTTGCTTTCCGCTGATCCCATATCTTTACATCTCCATCATGCGCGGTAGCCAAAGTATATGATGATAATGGATTCCAACGTACTTGTGATGATCCCGCTGTAAGAATAACGTAAGCTTGGTTATTTTCTTCAATTAAAAAAAAAATAATCTAAGTATATTAAACAAATAGAATCATAGCCAATTCCTCGGCAGGCAGGATTTCGGTTACTAAGTTTCTATATATAAAATAAATTCTATAAATAATTTTTTTATTATCAACCATGTGTCACTATTTTTAGCAGACTTACAATGTAGCATGTAGATTTTATAGTAATTTGATGATCAAATATCTTGATATCAATTAAAATCCCCATTTTATTATCCCCATCACAAGAAAATATATTAATCTAAGTATATTATTCATCTTACCAACTGCAGAAAGAGACAAGCATGGTTTTCTTTGATCTCGTATGTCCCAGATATGTATAAATGTATCGATGCTGCAAGAAGCAATGATGTCTGCTTCTTTGGGATGCCAGTTTAAATCACTAACGACTCGTGTGTGAGCTTTCAGACTCTGGCTAGTTTGCAATTCATATCCTCCTGCTCCATTGAAATTCAATATTTCAATTCGTGTATTGCTCTAAAAAAAAATTATTCTAAGGCAAGCTGTAAAATATACATATATCTATATTTTGCCTCTATACAATTTATCTAATAATACAAATTTAATTGATGATATATATGTATCTTTGTATATAAAAGATATACAAGTTATTACAGAAATTGCACACAAATGGCAGTTGAACTCGCACGGATTCCATTCAGCAGAACCAACTTCATATTTGCTCTGTCGCTGGAATTTCTTCACTGTATTAACATCCTCGTCTAAATGTTTTACTGCTAAATACCTGCGTCTAGAAAAGAAGCAGAAGAAATATAGATAATTTTTGCATTTACATAAATAATAGTGTTTAAAAAATAATTAATATTTTTTTTCATACAAAATGTGTCAAAGATATCTTTAAAATTCCCTTTCTTTTTCTTTCTCTCTCTTTTCTACTGACATCTTAGAAATTATTTATAAATTAATAAATATTTATCTCTAGAAATTTATTTATTAAAAACTTACCCGGCTAGCAAAACATAATTGCCAGTCGCGTCTACAGCCATAGTATTAGCCTAAATATACAAAAAAGAGAATCAAACATAAACATAGACTATTTCTCCAGTACAAGAGAGAGTTATTAAAAAAAAATCTTATAGCGCTTTTTTGACCAACCTGTAAATCGCGGTGCTCCGTGACCACATAGTCACTGTTTCGTTTGGACATTTTAGCTAAAGAAATTTTGGAAATCCTGTCACATTATCCTGCGTTAATTCAATCCTACGCGTCCTGTGCCGGGATCAGGTTAGAATCATAGCAAATAAATACAGTCCGTTGCGCGCGCAGCAATTAAATTGCTTACAAACAGAATGTTTTGTGTACGTTTGTGATATTTTGTATGTGAATTATTTGATAACAGAAATATTAACAAACAATATTCCTCACTGTTAATAGATTATCTGTTAATTATTTAATTATACATATCGCAATATATTTACGACCTTTATTTTATCATTTATTTTATCATATCCCAATATAATTTCATGTTTACATCGATTCGAAAAATTCTACGAAATCAAGCGAAATCAGAGATATTCTTGAGATAAAAAAGTGCTGATTTAAACGGATATTTCTGTTTTACAAATATCCCACGCCTCTCGGACTTTGTTCATAGCCCTGCGATATTTCGACAGCTCACATACAATTGACTCTACATTTAAATGCAGAGATGTAAGAGGGGTTGGGAGGTCGAGAGAGATGCGTGTCAGACGCGATATATTCAGGGCAGAGAGAAAGAGAGAGGGGGAGAGAGAAAGAGAGCAAACTTCTGTGGTCACGGTATCGCATCACACATACTCTTGCACTTGTGTGCACGCGCGCACATCACTGACGTAATGCGATTGGCTGCGCGTACGCGTTCCCTCCCCTTGGCACGCCGCGGTCACGCGACCGAGACCGAAGATGACCGAGGGCACCCGAGCGAGAGGGAAGGAGAAGGTACGTCTCCCGCTGTGTTGCTATTTCTGTCACGTACTACGCGCGCAAGTACGCACACACATAACACTCGTCTCTGTCATGTAATACGGGGTCTCTCGCGCGCGCGCGTACACACGCCACACACACATACGCAGCGTTTGCGTCTCTTTACGTGCGCAGTGAACGCGTTGACATCGAGTCGCAATATTAGAGTTGGTAAACTGGTGAAGCTCGCGCGCGAAAAATATCGTGGTGCGTCGTCGAAGGTGCGGGACGTGGGTAGCGCGGCGAGGATCGGCAAGGCTCAACAAGGAGGACGGCAGGATCGTCACCGACGATTAGAGGAGAGAAAGAGATTGAGCTTCGACAGTGACCGTGATACGACGTATCAACAACGAACGACAATGTCCGTGATTATGGATTGTTTTCGTCAGTAGCGGGCGCTACGCGTAAGGCATTCTGTTCTTCGGTGACATACATCTACCTCTCTGTCGTTCTTTCCCTCCGCGCGAGAAGCAGGTAGCCCGTGGCTGAGACTTGACATCTCTTGTCAGTTCGGGAACATCGTGAAATCGTCCTCCCGCTGTGCTCTGTGTGCGTGTATGTGTGCGCGTTCATTCGTTCGTCCATCCGTCTGTCCTTTTTCGTGCGTCCTCGCTGGAGAGACAATCATTTTCCCTCCCGAGACCACTCGCTGAAGGAAAGGCAAGCGCGCCTTTGTTTATCGATAAATTTCGTCACGTCGCGTCGCGTCCATCGTTCGATCTCTCTCATTCTCATTCCGTCGCGCTCAGTCATTCGCTCTCTCTTTCTGGCTCTATCAAGCAACGGGCAGCGCACGTAGGACAAATTACTCTGGCTCGTAACTCCTCGCGGAGTGGAGGGCCTTGATCTCGTGCTTACCAAGCCCGCTCTGGAACTCGATCACCTTCCCCTAAATCCTTAATTAGCTATCTGTAATGTGCAAATACAGCAAGGAAACCGGGAAGACCACTACGTCGACAATTAATCTCGTACATTCGAAAAGGAAAGGAATTTTCATACACATAAAAGAGATGCCCAGGGACCCGATAAGTCCACGAAGTCAAAAAAGCTTTCTGACGTTTCGTTTGTACTGAACGACCGGAACGTGAGAATCTGAGCAAACGTATTTAGATTCGCCTGAACAGCGAGCAACCAAGGGCTCTAAGGGCTCCACGAAATGTCATCATTGTAAGGCAGGTAGCCTTACGAAAACTCGACTCAGTTTCCAGCTCTCCAAGGTGGGAGCCACACAATTTCTTCGTGTACTCAGAGAGATTGCTGTTATCAACAAGATGAAGCTGTTAGAGAATTCACATTTGGAAGCTATAAACAGTGCCTTGTCCATCAAGACTGGAGATAGCAAGATAATTGGGAGGTAATGCTGATGTAGTAGATCATTTGAATCAGTTCTATATGTTTATCTCTAGTCTCAATATTTATATCATTTCTTCATTCTTGCAGAATCGAGAGTTACTCTTGCAAAATGACAGCCAATGATAAACAGATGTATAAACGATACAATGCAGAACAAGGGGGTACACCACACGATCTGCAAGCTTTATCACCACCGCAGACATCCTTGGGAACATCTCCGGCTCAGGGATGTTTGAGGTACCTTCTATATAGGTCTGGCGTAAATATATATTGTAAGAACATTTATTCAGTTTCTGCTGACTATCTTGCGCTGGCCATACTTTGCTCTCGAAATAAATCTACGTTGCTCGCTTGGTTTGTAAATTAATAACACCATCATTTCTATCTGTTTTCCTCCCACAGCCGTAGTGTTTCTGGTGACGAAGAGGGTCCGCTATGCGACACAATCAGCAAGAAGACGTTGTTTTATCTCATCGCCACATTGAATTCAACCTTTAATCCGGATTATGATTTCTCAGATGCTAAGAGCCACGAGTTCAGCAAAGAGCCAAGTCTGCAATGGGTAACGAATGCTGTGGATGGTAATCTCAATGCTACTGCGGGTGATCATTATCGCACATTGCGTTCTGCTCTTTGGACGGCTGTTGATAAAGAGATATCATTGAACGAGTGTGATATTTACAGGTAAACACTCGGCACAAGTATTCTGCCATAATATAAACAGAAAAATAAGACAATCCTAAGCGTTGTAAAACTAAAATTTAGTTTTTTATAATGTCAAATATAGAGTGCAAAATTAAGCAAAAGTAATACGAAATAACATTTTATACAGTTACAACCCGGATTTCGCATCGGATCCTTTCGGGGAAGACGGAGGTCTGTGGTCTTTCAATTACTTCTTCTACAACAAAAAACTGAAACGTATCGTATTTTTCACATGCAGAGCGATAAAGTGAGTACTAAAAAAAATATATTATCTCTGTGTGTCAATTTTATATATATAATATGATTTATTTCCGTTTTATTTCACAGTCCTCTTTATGCACCAGATTCTGGAGTTGGTAGTGATTTTGCTATGGACGAAGATGATGAAGATGGATATTAGATCATTCACGTATACACATATACGCGCGCGTATGAACGCGCGTTACACATATACACACACAGCATACACACAAAAATATATATACACATACATATACACATAAGTAAATTCATGTTTGCAATTCTTAATCTTCAAACTATAAATCTTCATACTATTCTGATTTCTATTACAAATTAATCAAAATCGTTTTAGATGCCGCTTTAGAATTTCTATGTTTGTTATAGCAAATTTAGTCAGCTGCACTACACTGAATTAGTGCGCATTAAAACCTGGTAAATAAGAAATAAATGTAGCGACATAATATGATTTCATTGATGAAATCAATGCATATTCTGCTGAATAAATTCATTGTTGATCATTTTGATTCATGATGCATATATGGATTACATGCATTTGAAATATACTTTTATAATAATTTAACACATGAAATATATTTTATCAATAATTTCATGTATAGCAGTGTTTAATGAGCATTAATTCGAGGTAATGCGAATCGGTCACTGTATGTACTAATACGTCACTTGCAGCAAAAATTTTAAATGATAATCTTACTTTCGTAGTTTATTATAATATTGACTTTCGCTAATATCCTTTAGCGAAATATTTTGCGAGAAATATATTTCTTTTAAGAAGTGTAAATCATATACATGTATCCCTTTAGCTATAACAATTCTCTGTCTCTTTGTGACATGATGCGATTACGTTATTATTCTCGACATAATATTAAATATATATTTTGAAGGCAAATTGTACGTAATAAAGTCCAATACTGTTATACGCAACTGCAACATTTTCTCAATCGTAAAATAACAAATCGTTACCTTCAACTTAATTAACAATTCGTGTTACTTGAATGTAAAATTATTTATACTTTGATTTTAGTTTTTGTCGACAAGTGACATAGTAAAATAATACAATGAAAAATGTAAAGTATTGTATATAAATTAAAAAAAAAAATTGCACAATTTTATTTTCAAATCAAACAATGCTAGGAAATAACTAGATCTAGTTACAAAGTGATCCAAGTATATGCTATACTTTTTGTCACAAAAATAACCAGTTTCTAACTAGCCCCCTGATTAGTTGTTTCATGTCACGATCATATGTATTTTATGCTTGACGTTCGAGCGTATTTCAGCATACTCCTGTCTGCTCCTGTCAATGTCAATCAGCGTTCTGCGAGTGTCAACGAGTGAGATTCTCAGGTTAAACAAGCATACTTTAAAAACTCTCGATATGCTCCGATTTTTGGTACGTAACATATAAACAAGAGCTCGTGATTTCGATAACGTATTGTAACGCATTTAAAATAACTTGCAGATCAGTTTAAGCATTGGAGTATATGCCGGAATATACATAGCACAAAATTATGAGGTATTTTGATAAGATAAAAGTTATTCGTAATAACTCTGATTTATATACGATAAAATATACATAAGTTATTGACCTTTTCCTTCATGTAAACAATGACATTTAAATTTTATTCCATTATATTGCATTTGCTGTTTCTGTTTGGATCGCTTCAAACTAAAAATCACATCAGGCAACATGTGTCATATGAGACTTGTAGTGCGATTAGTACTTTTTGAAACTGATGTTTTCCCCACAGGTGCCACGAGTAGACGAACCAGCGAAACTATACCAGCGAGTACTTCAGTTTCTAGAAGAGAATAAAAAGAAGCCATAGCGTGTATCTCTCTGAAATGAGATCGCTTCCAATTCTAGAGGACGGAATGCATATGCCATTATTGATTACAATGTAAAAGTTAATGTTTAACTTCCAGGAAATGTTAAGCCTAATGTATATACGCATTCATGTGCGATGTAAAGATAAGCCACTCTTATTTTTCCATATCTTTATTTTAATAAACAATATTTAAACACGTATGTCCTTGCGGAGAGTATAATTTAGCTATAATTCACGCGAGCGCGTACGCTGGATACTTACAATACCGCCTGACTGATTTGCATCAAATGTATATGAAACCCCCTCCGGAGTATTCCACCCTCATCTGGGGTTCAACGAATGCCAGCCAGTCGGACGCGTGCGTCGGCAATAGACCCATCGACTGACACTTGTACAGAGCTAACGCGATATTCACTAATTGTCCTAGGAAGTACACGAACTTTTGTCCGCACGCGTGTGTACCTTCGATCACTTTGAATGCTGAGTAAAAGAAACAATTATAGAGTGGCATTTGAATGCTGAGTAAAAGAAATGATTATAGAGCGGCATTTACACTTGGCACTTTCAGATCAACTCACTTTGCTGGAGAGTGAATAGCGCCTTGACCGGCTTGATGATGAGCATACCGACCATCATGATAGGAAATATTGAAACAGAACTACCGGCCATATATAGAATGAATAGATTCATGGGCACTTGCTTGAGGGGGCCCAACGCCAAGTCCCAGGACTTCTTTATTATCAGATGATTGGAGTCCGACTCTCGCATGTACTCCACATTGTGAAAGAGGGCACCGGTGGGTGTGTACCCTGGTGGAGACGGTATCTCCACACTCTTATCCTGTTTCGTTCTGCAAAGCGTAAGAACTTCAGAAAATATTAAAATGTTTTCTGTTTTCTGAATTCAATTCAAATTAGATCTAGAATAAAGCGATATATTCGATTGGAAAGAAAAATCACAGAGAACGCTGAAGAGAACGAGGAGAAACATTAATATTTAACACGCGAGTGGCTAGTTGATCGTCGGCTGATCGAATTACACGAATTCGACACGTGTACTTGCGACAATTGGAGCCGATTAGGTTACGTACTTGTGTGCGAAGTCTAAGGCCCACTTCGACCGCTTGGTACCCTGCTTCGAGCTCGCTGTCATCGTCATCAGGATTACTCTTGTAATGTGTATTCGATTTCTCTCGTTTTTTCGATGGAATGACTATGGACGACGCGCGATGACGCGAATGATCAGTGACATCCGGGACAGTTATTCTCGGCGACTCTCTTTTCGCGCACGCGCAACGCGGAAATAGTGAAATCCAGTAATGCGTATGTGTATGATCATTCTCTGATGATCATTGAGGACTGATGATCTTATAGAAATTTCTATGATTGTTAGATTTAAATAATCTCTCTTACTGCAATATTAATTTTATAATTATTCTGATGTTCTTTAGACGTAAGTAAATTTAAAATTTGATTGTTTAATTTTATTAAAAATTGCATATTTTTATAGTTACCATCCGTTATTTGATTATCCATAAAAATCTGAAACTACAAAAAACAATTATAATTTGCGATGATATATATTATATTATAGTGTCATAAGAATTATACTTATTTATGAAATTCATTTATGGTGTGGTAGAAAATCTTAATGGAATGCAGTCAAATAAAAACAGTAACACATCCTGTACAGCACAAATTTTGCAGTTATATTGCATCAACATTATTACAATGTTGCAAACTGCAAAGTTTATATTTGTAAAACAATTACAAATAAAAATAGTTAATTAATAGTTAAAAATTATAAAGAAATTAAAAATTATAAAAAATTTTTTTAATTACTTAAATATATATATGTATATATTATCTATATATACTTCAATAAATATTTTTTTATTATTTTCTGAAGCATTTTAAGATTAATTTAAAACATATTAAAACTAAAAGATTTAAAAATACCTTTTTCATGAGCTTCATTGAGGTCGCAATCGATGCACATACGTGAAAAAAGTTACTGAAAACAATACTGATCCGGAGCAAAGCGTTTGCTGCATCGACTACTGATGGATCTCCTCAACTGGAGACATACAAGGCGATATAACATTGATAATATCACATCCTGGAGCTCGGGTGGTCTTTTTTTCTGGAGTTTAGTCAAAAAGGAAATTTTTTTATTCCAAAAGGGAATGTATATTGGTTGAAAACTCAGTAATGTCTTTTCAGCTCTTTTTTTTTTGATGTTGAAACTGTCAGAATTGGATGTCCAAATTAGCGATACATTGAGGATAAAATGGGGAGAAAGCGTTTCCCATGCAAGATATGTAGACATCTGTTGATATTTCACACATGCTGCTCTTTGTTATCCAATTTCTTTTTTTTCATCATATACATGATACATAAATTAACGCGTATAAATAGAAATGACTGTAATATTAAGTATAAAAAACTGTAGTGCGACGTTACACATTTCCATAAAGAAAAAGTCGACTGCAACATTAAAAAAATAAGACGATAGATTACAATGGGAGGCACGCGCGTTCGATATAGATATGAAATATAAATTAATCGGTCATTAACTCGAGAACTACGCATATGAGTTTGTGAGAGCCGGTAAAAGTTTCAAGCTGCCAGCAGTATTCTTGAACACGTCTTTGCTTAAATGTTTGTATTATGAAATTTAGCAGGCAGACTTGAATTTTGATTTCGCAATCATACTCTATATATCTTCCTGAAAAAAGAATTTATCGAAAAGTCGGTAGTGATTTATTTGGCTTGTATATAAAAATATTCGATTGCTTCGGTTTGTATAAAGATATGTGTAGTCCTGGGGTCAATGAATAATTATGTAGATAGACGCGAGGCGCGCGAGAAGTAGGAGGAAACATTGAAATACGCATAAGGATACGTCTGATTGCCGGTCGAGTGTGTGTATGTATGTGTGTGTGTGTGTGTGTGTGTGTGTGTGTGTGTGTGTGTGTTTTGTGTATTTATTTCTATATATCATATCATTTTACAAAATATGTACACACAGCATACGACATACGCACGGTATGCATACGCACGCACGCATGCACACGCGTGCAGTCGCGATCGAGGATTCGAAAACTAAGAATCAAGGCTGATGGCAGTGTTTGTACCTGATATTTTTAACGACCTATCAGAACTCTTTGACAAACGTATTCGCTCTTCCGGCTTCAGAATTTCGGCAATGATCTTTTCGTCGGTGCGTCGTTCCTGCGATGAACGTACCGTCTCCGGAGGCTTCTTCTTACATTGATGCCCCATAGTACATGACTCGCCACCACCGTCACCACCGCCCGCCGAGGAACTCTCTTCGGCAACCGACGCCAGTTGCGCCGTTTGTATCTCAGTCAGAGTAAGTCTTCCATTAATCTTGCCCTCCGCAGAACTTACAGACTGCTGTCGAGGACTAGCCTCGGAGCTAGGAACAGTTGATTGTAGAGGATTCTCCTCTGTGCCAATTGGAATCTTTAGAATGTTGATTGGTTCAACGTAGAGCTATAAAGTTACAATTATTACATTACAATTATTACATTACAATCAAAATGAAAGAGACATTTATATGAATAATAAATTTATATTGACTGCGGAAAGAAGCTGATAGCCGGCTGGTCATAAATATGGTTGCGCTGATTATATTGAGAGATTCTTTGATAACTCCACTTCGTCGAGCTTTTATTTTTAAAACTTTTGCCTCTGTGTCAACTATAAAATAGCGCCGACAACATTACGAGAGAGATACATTATATGACTTACTGCATCGAATGGAGAATCCAAAAACAATTCTTGCAGAAATCGCCGCGCTGGCATTCTGTACGTACTGCTGCCTAAGCGAGCAGCCACATCCGAAAACAAGCAGGTATCCTACAAAGAATAAACGAATGTAATGTAAAGAACACATCTAGAAGAAAAAGAATGTGTACCTGAAATTTCTCGGGATACCGCTGCCTCAGTCTAAGTAAAGATTGACGACTGTGACGATACCATACTGGATTTGCAAGCCGTTGAGTGTGCCTAAGTATTTCTCTGTACAAACGCGATTAAATTAGATACAATCGATCTCGACAATAATATTCTTATTGTGACTTAAATTAAGAACTATAATACTTTAAATTTATTTTAATACCTCAATGAATAATTTTTTGTTTCATTATATTTTGATTATATAGTTCTATTTTTTATCTTTAACATACAAGTAACGTCTTCCAAGGAATGCGTTTTCAATACCTCCGCAATTTCATATCTTGTTCCGTGCCAGCATCCCTGCCATTTTTATTGTTATAACAAACAAGACATGAGCGACAATGCTCGGTATCAACATCGCACTCTGAACTAGATTCGTCATCGATCTCTGTTGTCTCCAACTCAGACTTGGTACTATCCTCAAAGATAGTCGGCTGCGATGGTTGAGGTAGTTCGGGGAAAATGGTAAGCAGCTTCCTCGGCAGAGAGATACCCATGTAGTATAAATTTTCATTATCATCCTCCAGAGGAGGTGGCGTCGGTGTGAGGACCGTATTCTCCGCAATCCAGCTGCGGGATGAATCGTATTCTGACAGACTTTGTAATGATAGACGGCCATCTAAACTGTACATCTGCGAAGAGAAAGTCTTGTTATCTGTCATATTGTTTTTTAAAAACATTGAATCGTATTTTCAAAGGGATAAGCATGACTTTACATACTTCTAAACTACTTTGAGAATAACTCGGCCTGCGGTGACGTTGTAAACTACGTAGTCGCGCGTATCCTTCAGCATCTTGTTGGCTTAGTCTTTGAATACTCGAAACGGGACTTGGAGTTTCGCCTCTCTCTCTAAAAGAATAGGAAATATCAAGTTAATATTAAAATGCAAACATATAAATTAAAATGCAAACATATACATAAAAATATATTCAGATCCATCTTTTTTAAATTTAACTTATGAAAATAAAAAGAATCAAAGAATATTTATTAATTTTATTTCCGTTATTTCAACAATTAAGCTTTCAATTAGAAATCCACCTAAAATAATTTTTTTCTTTTCAATATATATTTTTAGTTTTTGCTTCACTCACGAAAGAAAATATCGTCGCGCCTCGAGATCCGTTGCCGCGCTCTCAGATCGATTCCTAGTTCGGCGTATGATCGGCTCGAGCAATTCAGGTTTGCCGTCGCTGAGACTACGATGATGTCGCTGCACTGGGATGGGACTTGGCATGGGGTACCTACTCGAGGGTGGTACCACGGGCCAGTTATCGCCACGTCGATGTCTGACGCACGGCCAATTGAAACTCACCAGCGTGTCGGCTCCGGCGCGCGTGGTACCGATTAGACTGAGGGCGTACATAGCTGTGGCGCGTACCGAGTAATACGGACACGTTTCTGCCATAGATGTAATCATCTCGATGATTCCCAAGTGACTTAAATGTTCGACGCCCGCGACAGACGTGCCTGCGTGGCCAAGGGCCCAGAGAGCTGATTTCACTTTGAGAATGCCGCCATTCGGACCGACGAAATCGTCGCGCGATGACTCGGTCTCCAACCTCCAGCTTCGCTCCGGAGTGGTGTGTCTGGAATCGTCCACGCTGGTCTTACGACGGATCTCCATCAGCGATTCCGTTCGCGGTTGGCTCACCGTGTCACGAGCTTCATTTTCCATCGTTTCGTAATCGGGGATGGTTTCGAGACGGCTGGATTGCTCCATAACTTCCTCCACGCCGGATTCCTCTGACATGATGCAGATATCGTCAGCAGCAGCGGAGGTCATCGTTGTCGCCGCCGCCGCGACCAGACGGCTCGTCCTAGTACACCGTGAATTGGATTCTGACTCGCGACCGCCAAACTCCAGTTTGAATCGCTGCAACACTCGAGCGAAACGCTGTATCACATTACGACGTAGTAGCAATTGCATCCCCAGATCATGTTGCGCCAGTTGGCCAATCAGATGTGGTAATACGAAGATATTGCGCGGCGTCATCACGACGTCATTAGTGGGCCTCCTCTGATAGCTCCCGGTTTCGTCGCGTTGACGACACGTAAGGGCATCATGTATTTCCCCTTCTACGAGGCCGACGTATCTCTCGGCGAAACCGCCAGGTCCGATCCATTTCTCCAATTCCTCCGAAGGTGCGGCGAGACTTGTGAAACCCTGCTGAAGAGAGTAAAGTCGAATCTTTAACAAATAACCCTTATCACCCAGGTGTTGTAGCCACTTGTCCCAATCGCGCGACTGTCCGCCTTGTTGCAGCAACGCCTCCAGATATTCGAGCTCGTCGCAGGCCTCATGTAGCGCCTCCAGAGCGGCTAATGCCACGGCTGTGTAGCTATCAGACAATCGATCTGCCAGCAATGTCATCGCCCAATGCACGGCATCTGTCATTCTGGCGCGGAGAATCAGCCGTAGGAACTGCGTAGCGTAGAGACGCGTACTCCACAATGTTGCCTCGGAAATGATCTTGCTCAATACCTTCCTATTGGGACCATCTCGGGAGTAATCCAAGCTAGAAACGATCAGCTTGACATAGCAGTCGTGATTAGTGGCCAACGCAAGCTCCTGCAATTTTTCCAGCAAATTGAAGCTCTTGAGTACCACCGTACCTTTGGCCGAGTGGCTCAGCTGGCCGAGAAACAGAAAGTACTTCTGGCAACACGTGGTGGACATGTGACGCGGTGAGAATAAACAATCATGTGCGGATTCGGCAGTAGTAATGTTGTTAATCTGCTCAGCGATATCCCCGATCAACTCGTTGAGTAATCGCGCACCTTCCGGTTCGTGAAGTTCCAACAAACAGTTCAATAGATCGCAACCGGCGAGAGTAGCCTCGCGCGCCAACGTTGCGCTCGTACCCAGCTCAACTCTGCTATAACCGTTCCACGATGGTTTAAAGTAACGCACGAGCCGCTTCATGAACAATCGGTGATCGGAATCGTGAAGAATCCGTGTCGCATCTTCACGCGATCGTAGAATTGCTCGTACCACTGGCCAGTTCCAGGCAAGAGCGTCCTTCGAGCTGAGCACCTGCGCGTCTTTCAGCATGGGCGTGATCGGCGATTCCCTGCCAATTCGCAGCCAATGCCTGGCGGACGGCCGTTGACGTCGCGGTACGATCGGACGTAGCCAAGTGCCTGCTTGAAGGATACGATCGAGAAAGAGACTCGCCGGAGTCGGTCTACGTCGCATCATGGTGTGCATCCGCTCAAGTATGGTAACCGCCGCCAATGCCTGATGCTTACCGGCGCTTGCATGTTCCAGTAGATTCGGCAATGGCGGCGTAAGATCACAAAGCTCGGACGGTAGAAGCGAGTGCGCGAGATGCAGCAACGCGCCCAGAAGTACCGCCGCACGCACCGAGATGAACGTGTCGCTGGAGACGATGGTCTCCGCGAGAGCACGATGCAAGCCGCACTCCAGAAGGACGTAGACCAACAATGCCGAGTGTATCTCCGTGATGTTGGGACAGTGCGACAGGGATGGCAGTATGGATTTTCCCTCGGCAGCGACGAAGCCCTCCGATAATTTCCATGAGTCCCGCGATCTGCTGGGATCCACTGCAGCTAGTGCAACATCTGGCTCGTCAGTCCATGTGGGTAACGGCAAGTCCAGTAGCTCGTAAAGCAGCTCCAAAACGGCGCCACGCACTTCTAGTTGGTCCACGTACAGGATATCCGCGATGGCCTTGAGACCCGAATTGTTGTCTGGTCGGCAAAAATGAAGAATGCCCGGATATGAGCGCAGAATACTCAGCAGGGCCAATTTACTAGCGGCGAATCTCTGCTCGCGCTCCTCCTTGGTTCTCTCCATGCTCAAAGAATGGAGCTCGCAGTAAGGCGCGGCGAAGCATAGCAAGGAGACGCTACCGCGCGTATCAGGATTGTTCAGTAGTCGCAGCAACACCCCGACGACGGACTCGACCGCGACGGGGCTTTGCCCGGTCATTGCAGCTCTGGCCAGCGCCCCGACGCCGCCGCAGCTTATCAGCAGATTTGAGTTCAAGACACCCAATTCGCATAGGGTTGCCAGAAACGCTTTAAATGCACGATCCCTCTCCTCTATGCCACCGTTTGTCAAACTGATCAAAGATCTCGCTAGCACAGAACTGAAATGCTTCGGCGCTAATACTAGAATCCTCCTGACAAGCCGGAGAGCCTGTATCCTTTCCATCTCGTTTCGCAGATTAACGTCCATGCTACGCGCCAAGAAGTACGGGTATTGCAGCTTGTTAATCGCAATGACGTCTTGTTCCTTCTTGAGCATGTAACGCACCGCCCGTAACGCGGCAGCACGTACCTGCGTCGCCTCATGAACCAGCGCCACGCGTAAACTATAAGAACAGTTTTTTTTAATAAAAACATTAATTTACAAAATGTTTTATCTAAAAGATTTGATAATTAGGTAGATCTAGCTGTCTAATTATCAAATTAAAGATATACAGATCAAGAATTTTTCGACTAGATTCAATTTCTATTTGAATAATTCGCACATCTATCTTGAATTCTTACCAACAGAAGAGATCATCCGCAGAGTAGCCATAATATTGAGAAGCAGTTTCGTTAATTAACTTAACAATAGCATTGAGATATGCTAGCTTCTTTACACTTGGAACAGTCTGACGCTGGCAAAGATTAGTCAAGACCTCCTTGACATTCTCCTTTAATCCTACAAATATAAATTAAAATTTTATCTCCTGAATGACATCTCTTCAACAAGAAAACAAATAAAAAAGAATAATAATTATGCTTTATGCATTCTCGAGCGAAAAAAACTAGCAGTAAAATAATTATGGGTAATATGTTTTCTTATTTTTTACATAAATTTAGTCTTTATCAGTCTTAACAGAATAGTGTAATCTCTCTAATATAATCTAACATAATCTAGAGTAGAGCCGACTGATTGGTCTCAGATGCTGTTTCTGTCTCTCTTTCTGACCTTTTTCATTTTTAGATTAGATTACTATGTGGATATATACATTCCAAACTTTCGAATGGCAAGAGTCAGTATCATTCGAAATTAAAATTCATTAAAATGTATCCGCATTTTCCGTCATTGAAAAACCGAACCGGTCGCCGATCTCGAGTGGGCGAGACGTAATGTCGTTGCGCAACATCGCGTTCGCCAGGCGAAAGATAAATAAATACACAGAAATGCGGAGCGGTCTCGATGACCATTGATTGGATGATCAGGGCAGAGAGAGAGAGAGAGAGAGAGAGAGAGAGAGAGAGAGAGAGAGAGAGAGAGAGAGAGAGAGAGAGAGAGAGAGAGAGAGAGACGA